AAAACAATGGATCGGGTTAGTAGTTTGGGAAAGGAGATCATTGATAAATAGAAAGAAGAGGGTGGGCGCAAGTTCTGAACCTTGCGGAACACCAGCGTTCACAGGGAATGGCTGAGTTAGAACACCATCAATTCGGACGGAGATGGTTCGCTTGCTGAGGAAACTTGATATCCACGCTACGAGCGCTGGAGGGAACCCGAACATGGGTAGTTTCGCCAGTAGACCTTCGTGCCAAACTTGGTCGAAGGCCTTTGAGATGTCAAGCAAAACCAAGTGTTTCCCCGTGGTTATCGAGTGGAGCTGACCAGGATTGTGAGGCAATAGCCAGAAGGTCACCGGTGGAAGGACGCGGTCGAAAGCCATACTGGCGGTCGTTCAGTAGTCCTTCGCGTTCAAGGAACCTGCGTAGTTGGTCAGAAATGATAGTTTCAAATACTTTCGAAAGAATAGATGTGAGGGAAATAGACCGGTAATTGTTGTGGTTAGAAGGGTCGCCGCGTTTGGGAATGGGAAAAATCACGGTGTGCTTCCAGGGGGTTGGAAAGGAAGGAAGTTAGAGGGAAAGACTGAAAAGACGACGTAAAACAGGAGACAGCTCGGGAGCACACATTTTGAGGACAATGGGTGGAATACCGTCCGGACCGGGTGGTTTGTTTGAGTTTAGAGAGCGCAATGTTTGATGGATATAATATAAATAAAATATAATATAAAAAGGTTGCCAGTGAAAAAGGAAGAAGGTGGACGTGTAGAAAAATGGAGTAAGTTGGAATTGGCGGCAAACTGGGAAGCAAAAATCTCAGCCTTCTCGTTTGGTTGACATACAAGATCACCAGAGAAACTGCAGATAGGGGGAAAGTTGGAAGGGCAGAAATTACGGGAAATTACTTTGGTAAGGGACAAAAATGTTCGGCTACCGGTGGCGGACGAGACCAAGTTTTCGGCTTTACGGCGAACGAAGCGTATTTTAGTTCTCTGAATGGTCGTCAAGCGTCATCTGTTCCTAGCTCGCACGAAGCCATGATGGGAGAGGAGGAGGGGGGGGGGAGAAGTGGGCGAGCGACGCCAGAGACGCTTGGTCGTATGGGAGCATTTCACGAGTTGCTAGGGCCGGGTGACCAGCCTCAACCCTAGTAACCCACTCTCGACCATACTGAGGCTTTTATAGGTGTTCTTTTAAAAAAGACAGAGTTAAGAGAACGCAGAGGAGTCCATATTGCTCAAGACGATGCTATTATATGCTATTATAATGTTGAGCAAAAGAAATTATATCAAGGGATGAGTGAGTTGATTCATGTTGACCCCCATTCGAAGTAGTTGGTCTAAGTCGATTGACTTATGACTGTTTCATTCGGTGCTACGGGTAATTTTGATAATGTCTTTGAAACTGTTCAGTCGACCTCGCGTTTGTAATCATTTGGTTTATGTACTATGTGTGTAATTCTTCTGTGACCCTCGAATCGATATCTCTCGAGGTTCGCATACTATTTCTTTCTATGAGGGCTTAGCGTTTTTCGTTACTTTGAGCCCCTGAGAAACACGTGCCTGTTCTTCTGCCTGCTTATTGATACCATTCGCCCTATCGGTTCGCCTTTTTATAAGAATCAGTCTGCCTAAATCACCATAATTACGCGTTCCTCTAAACTCAAACCGACACTGATTGATCCATCATTTTTCTCTGGGGACTCCTCACTGTTAAGGATGGAGCATAGCTGTGAGGACTGTGCCTTTTCTGCTGAATCAAAAGAGCGTTCCTTCCTGAGTCCCAGCTGACTACAACAGGTGAACATTACTCAGCACCAGGCTGGAATGAGATGTTCCCACAGAACAAGATCATGTGCACACAGGGATCGATCAGAAGCAAATAAATCTATGGGCTAATCAGAATGTGTTGTGATTATTGTACTGACCGTTCAGCCAGGCTGTTGTGTGACTCAATGATCGTCCAATCATAGCACCGCGAATCGGCCGTGTAGTGCGTGCACTGGTCACCTGTCATGATTGTTGAAGTTGGTCGACTCTTTGGACGGTCTGTTCTAACAGAATTGAAAGGTACACAGCTCCCAAATAGGTGGGATAATCGCGTTTTCGGTGATCATTATTCATTGTCTTGTGTTTGTGTTTGTGTTTGTTTCATACCATCTGCAACTTGTTGCAACCTTCCTCGGGGAAATCCATCAACAAAAAGCGCGAANGGTTTTTTGCCGGTAAAAAATAAATGGAAGCTCATTTGGAAGTTCACTGACCACAGTGTTGTCCATAAAACGGAAACCGTAGACAAACGGAAATGTCTTACGGTCGTATGTGTTACTGCATCTGTCTTGTCTAGCATTCCTATACTGCTCCTCTATTCTGTTCCATAATATTGCATGCGTGCAACATTTCAGTCGCATTACAATGGCATTTGTCCACTGACTGATTTCGTTTCATCGGTCTTACACACACACACACACACACACACACACACACACACACACACCAGATCGAATCTGAATGCCTGATTCACATTGTGACTGGTGTTTAGACCCAGTGATCAGTCGTGTCAGTTTCATACGAAAAGTGGGACTCCTCAGGCTCGTTTGTTCGAAAAAGGTAAACCATTCAAGTGCGTTGTATAAGGTACGGTTATTAGGCTTGTTGGCATTGTTTTCCTGTTTAAAGCGTTTAAAAGAATGCTTATCCCCACATCTCGGTTCTTAACACTACTTGAACGCTGCAAATGGGTGTTTTCTCCCTAACCGTGATATTCCGAGCAGGTTGTGAACTTACACATGATGGTTAACATTGACTGCCTATCTCACCGCTGTGCCCCATAGCCATCCATCCATTGAAATGAAATGCCAAGAATTGTAGAATGGCCCGGGTCTGTTATTTTATCTATGAATCCCTTGAAATGGTTAAACGTTTAGTTACCGTGGTTATTCCCGGTAGAACAACTGTAAAACACGATTCGTCTCGTGAACTTCTTTTGTCTTTGAGGAGGCACAAACGATTATTTCTGTCATTAAGTTTCGACCTTACTTTTTGGTTTCCTAGTCCTTAGCTTCATTTAACCTACTCGGTAGCTTCCTGTTTTCTTTGTCTTCACATTTCATTTCTCTCTCACGAAGGAAAGATCAGAGCCACCGGTTTTGGGCTATTTCTGTTAGTGTCTCAAACCAAAGCTGTGCACCGTTCTTGGGCCCCTGGCTTGCTTGATCGTCCCTCGATTGCCGATTTCGAGGTCCTGTTTTTCATCTCTAGCACAGGTCATTCATTGTCTATCTTCTCGTCATTTTTGCCTAACATCGGCCTGTGCAAACATAATACGATGGTGACAGTTGTTGGACCGACTTGCACAGCACGTGGCCAAACCATAAGAGCTTTTGGAGTGATATGAGTTTTATGACGGTGGGGTTTATCCAGTTTGTTGTTCATCACTCAAGAGTGCGTGATAAAAAGGGACTACGGTTGTCTCAGCTTCGGATTCTTTTGTGATTAAAAATCGAATTTGGTTGATGCAATGAAGCCAATGTCGGTCAAAGGCTGGCAGTCCCTATGCTTTTCCGGTACGAATGGACCAACTTTCGCAACAGTACAGGATACGATTACGCGTACAGTGGTATTGCAGAGTTGGTCTATCAAGGAAAGACTGAAGTGTCACAAGAGACCCAGTTTGGTGATCTATACTCGGGTTTCGAGGATGCCTGTTGGTACTTTTTCTGTCATTTTTTTAGTTGAAGTAACTTCTGAGATAGACAAAGTAACCAACGAGATCGATTACTCATGAATGTAAGTGTGGACATAACTAACTTGCCCATTACCAAACATAGAACTTATTTTGAGGTCATTTAAAATCATGAAATGAAAAGTTCTAGCTTACACAGGATATTTCGACTGTCTTGGAACCAGTTGCACAATATGGTATTGTCCTCCGTGCACATCAAGTCGCGGAGTCAATTATCTGAAAGCAGACGCATGCCATTTTTCTGGCGCGTTCCTTTGGCGTTCGCCTATGACGAAGTTGAACGGCACGCTGAAGTCGAACAGCGTTGTCATTCTCTTTTATCGATGCTAAATGAAGGGGAAAGGTGGTGATATATCTTAATGTGGCCTGATATTTCTGAGACAAATTTAATACTCATGCACTTCTCTGACTTATTCTTTCCCAGCATCGTATGGATGCCCAGTTCATTTGCTGTGGGTCTTCATTTGTGTAGGAGCTGGGTAGTTTTGACTGTGAAATCATGTGGATTTATGTGAATGTTTCTGCTTTCATGATCTCACTACTCACGAGTAGTGTGCTCGTACGGTAATGTGCATATTTTGGATGGCACTCCATTTAGAAATTTGCTTTCACCGATACTTCTGTACTGATATCAAAGGGGACGCAACTTCGGTTTTAGATTTGCAGATATCTTCCAATAAATACGAAAATACGCAGGGTATCGTAATGTAACCTTTGAATCTTATTGCTTACAGTAAAGATATAAACTTGAGCCACACCACTACCCACAAGTAACTGTTAGCTCAATGCGAACGAGGTCAGAATATTGAATTGCATCCGCTAAACCTGGCAAAACAAATAAACACCACTAACCATCTACCGTGGTACAGTCACGCAATTTCTGATCTCAGTCGCTGCTGAGATGATTTTCTCATTCAGATGAATTTTTTTCCACAACGTGTATGTGTATCCAGTTGGTTAAGGACCTAAAATTCCCAGTCTTACCGCAAGTATATCTTACAACACATTGGAATCTGAAGCTACAGAACCCTTCTGAAGTTAATCCTGGGTTTTTGATGCAAACAGACAACCACCTGGCGTGCGTTGTAAAAAGCACAAATTCTATGGTGAACAACTCGTATGAATAGTTGAGGTTTTTTCCTACAAGACATCTAATGTCGCTCTTCTTGCAATGACACTTAACTCAGACTCCCGCGGAAGACCGTCTGTCATCAGCGGATCGCGATCGAACAATGAGCCCCAGTTCTCAAGGTCGACTTGATTCACCGAGTGACTTGAGCACGGAGTTAGAATCGCGCAGACGTATGCTTTCCGCCCTGAATCTGTTCTCAGCACATCCGATGAAAGACAGTCCAGGCATTCACCGGGTCTCTGGCTCCGTTGGTGATAACCTATGCCCATCCCCTTTGGGTCCGTTTGATACAGTCCAAACTCAAGCCTATGCGTTTTTAACGGATGAGCCTGATACAACAGCCACTGGTTCGGATATTGAAGTGTTGTCCAGATGCACTTCGACTAACGATGAATCGGGTCAAATGATTGGTCTTGGTTCGACCAGTTTCGAACGTACAGGCGAATTCCAGAAACCGTTGGATGCTTCGGGACTCATGAGTACCCCACATGGGACTTCAACTCTTTCTCGGTTGAGTGATATTCATTTTTCCATGGAATGTGATTAATTTCGGTTAGGTATCAGTTTTGTTTAATCTACTCCAAGGGTGTTAGGTGGACATGCTGCAGTCGTAGATTCTGAATCGCTTATTTGCTAAGATGGTCCTACTGAGTATCAGATAACCAAGTAACTGTTGACCGATCAGCTGACCTGTTTATCAGTCGTACAAAATCTACCAAATGGATAAAGCGATAAAAAGCAACAAGAAACGACAACCGCTGTCCTAATTTATGGATATAAGCTTTTCAATAATACACTAAAGTGGCATCTATACAAAAATTAAATGGACTTTATGTTTTATCTCATTTGTGTATCCACGACTTTGAACTGTCACATCCTTTGGGTGATGAAATGCTCCTTTTTAACGACTTTGTGCTGTACCTTCTGTCGGTGAACATCAAAATATCACAAAAGAAAACAATCAAAATGTTATTTTTGTCGTTTATGGTGCAAACAAAAGCCGGTTTACTGGGATTAGTCGGTAAAGGATTTCTTTTCCATTCGACGATTGTACACCAATCCTAACATACCTAACGCTTTACAGCATAGGAGGAGTGTTTCACTTCTGTGTTTTTGATCCCATCAATCAAACCATGACTGGCGAGTTGCTCACGCGTTCATACAACTGATTCCCAAGCTGATCAACAACAACACCATCCAGGAATCCATTTTTTTATCACACATTCTTGTGATGAACAGTAGACGAGGCGAACCTCATAGTCACGAAGACCTGCTGCTCCGTCATGGAAACCGGTGACCTAAGCCCCGGAACTTGGAGTTGTGAAACACATAAGGCCCCTCTCGGTTAGGTGTGGCATTGAACTGGACGACAGCAAAGCTGTCTCCCACCTTATTAGGAATGCACTTATATATATTTCACACACGTCTGATGACAGACTGTGTGCTAAACAAATCATGGTACCGCCAGGCTGCCCAGGCCAAGGCAAGTGAATTTTCTTGGGGAATCCACAACCGGAGCCTTCGGCTAGCCAAAGCCTGACCTGCAAGGCAGCGAGGCGCTGTGTGAAAACCGCAATTCATTAGGAGCCGGTGTCCAGTTAATCGGATCATACGCCTTTCGGACGGGGTCAGACGTCCAAGGTGCCCAATACACCTTGATGCCCAATCGAGCCGGTAACCATTGCCACAACCGGAAAGGTGAGTGTGGTTCGTACGCCTCCTCATGGTTGGTTTGGAATCAGGGATTTTGGTCAACTCCCCTAGGTGAACTGGCAGTGATTCACCAACCCAGTTATAGCCGCCCATGTCGGCCTTTTGTCCTCTCACTTTGGTGGGAAAACACCGCCACGAGAAGGCAATGAATAGGGCTTCCTCAACAGAGGCTATTTGAGACGCTTGGTCGTATGGGAGCATTTCGCGAGTTACGAGGGACGGGTGACCAGTCTCAGTCCTAGTAACCCACCCTCGATCATACTGAGGGATGCAGGAATGCACTTACTTTGTATGAACTCTGCTCGCATAGTTCGCTTTGGAAATTGAATCAGTCTTTATGAGTCTTAACTTAGAAGGACATTGAAGTTCATTACCCTGTGTGGCGTTTTCCTTTTTCGGAACTTCTTCGTATTTGTTTCTCGTTCGCAGAAGTCATCGTTACATTTCACTGTTGATTGCATTGAGCTCTTCATCATCTTGTTCATCACACCACCAACACCCAGGATTGATTATTTTTCTGTATGAATAAAGTGTTTCCTGAAAGTGTCACGTTTCGTTCAGACAAATTGTCTTATGGTCTCCGTTTTTCATTCATCCCTTCTTTTCCGTTCCTTGCATGACATTCTCAGCAGTGTAAACACGCATATAAAGTTCATTCATTTACTCCCGAAATGCGTCTGATAGACAATCAACTATTCGTTGAATGCGTACTACATGTGACATTTTCTAGATTTCATCTAACGATAGACCCTTAGGATAGAGTTGGAGCAAGTTCAGAAACAGTTCAGGACCTGATAAAGGTCCTACTTTTTAAAGTTTATAAATAAATTCACTCAGAGATTAGGCGGAGTAGGTGTTTCTCGTCGTCCGGGTTGGGATCCAAAAGGCTGCACTTAAGACAGCTTGGTTGGGTACACGAAAGTATGTGGCAGCAAATTGCCAGCAATAGTAATGATGTTGGCTACACATGAAAGTATTTTGCTGTACCATAATGATGATGTTCCTACTTTTCTCACTCTTTATCGCACCCCTGTTGTTATACATCAGTCATCGTCGCGCGGTCAGTGCTTCCCACGCAATTCATTTGGGTAAGTTCAACCATTGCACTGTTTGTTCACCAACGCACACTACACGCCGCACTCTTCATTGACCTGCTTTGGGTCAGAAAGCCCTGTTTTCAATCCTTGCCGCCACCAACCAGTTCCACTATCGTCCGACTGAATATCATATCTATCCTTTGGGGTCATATTATGTGCTCAGCCAATCGAATTTACAGCACTGGGGTTGCCGGTTACCATAAACATACCACAGGTTCCCGGAATCATTGGGGTTCGACAGTTGGAAATTGCAGATCACCGCTATAGATTGTTGGGTAACTTGAACGCAACAGTGGTAAAATCAAAATTTCGCGACGGGTCGGGGAACTTATCAGGTTCTTCGACTGCTTGAAGAAATGCGTGTGGAAAATTAGATCATATTACAGTAAATTGATGTGCACTAGTCCTTGGGATTTTTGATTATACTCCTAATTACTTATCTCAGTTTAACTTTTGTCTATGTATTTGGCCCTGCTCATTCTAATGTCAGGTTTGTCTCGGCCACGTGAAGAAGATCTTTCCTACGCATTTCAACGTCTCATCAAAGTGAGTTACGTCATTGGTCAGTAATACACTGAGTGGACTTTTCTGATTTGTCGTCTAAAATTGCTCGGCACATTACGCTCCAATCCCATGTGTCTACACTCCGTGGAAATTGATTGTTATTACCCTGATAAACGCTCCCTCACTTGTTTTTCGTCTTTTTAATTGCAGAAATATGCAGACAAAAAAGCTTTGCTTCAAATTCGTGAAGCCAAGATTTTACAGCTCAGTCGAGAGAACTGCGGTCTGCGCGAGGTCAACGCCACTCTAGGAGAGTGAGTTAGTTCCTCGATCTGGTTCTCTTTCTTTTCCTGTTCGAACTACAGATTAGCTTTCTATCCGTTGTCGATCGATTTGGTTGGTAGACCGTAAATCATTATCACAGCGACAGATGTGTGAGGCTTGGAGTTTGAGGTCTTTTTTGGTGTTATGAACAATGTGGTGGAGTCTGTCAATTTATCTGTTCGATTAATGCCACATCCAAAATCCCGGACCACGTTCGACGACATTTTTCATTTGAAAGAGGCAAATGCACGTAAACTGTCCTTCCAAAATGTGTAACAAGTTACGCGGTCAAGTATTTGCAAACATCACAGACCCCGTTTGGTTGAATAGATCAGTCTGGAGCGATTTCTTTTTCAAATAAAAGTGCGTGTGTACGTTTTAGGTATTCAACCAATTATTGTCAGCTCCGTTGAGAGCGTCTTGACAATTATAATGTGATTACAAAAAAACAACGGTCCAGTTGCTTAGCTTTTTTCGGTTACAGCTTTTCGGGGAAACAATATGAAAAAGGGTAGAGAACCATAGATGCTGTTCCGAATATATGACGGCAAATGGCTGTTGTTCATTGAATGAATTAAAACGGCAACTTACAATTTAAAACGCAATGTGACAGAATAGTAGAACGTTTTTGGACTTTTGGATAAACCCGGTTTTCCCGACGTTTCAACTTCTGATTCTAGTGTACATATAGAAGAACATCCATGCTTGTTTAACCACGGATCGATCAGTATATGGTACAGTGCTTGAGCACATACTCAATATCAAGCATTGTGTCCGGACGTCCATTT